TGGGAGGCAGAGGCAGGCAGATTTCTGAGTTCAAGGCCAGCCTGGTCTACAGAGTGAGTTCCAGGACAGCCAGGGCTACACAGAGAAACCCTGTCTCAAAAAACCAAAAAAACAAAAACAAAAACAAAAACAAAACAAAACAAAAGGATACGGTTAGTCTAGTGGAGCCAGAGGCAAGTGGATCTCTTTGAGTTTGAGGCTAGCCTGGTCTTCATAGTGAGACCTTGTCGAGAGACTGAAATGCTTAGTCTGGAAATAGAGGAAGTTTGAGGTCAGCATGGACTGCAGGAGTCTGTCTCAAAGACCTGGGAGAGAAGTGGTAGAGGAAGAGATTGATTGGATTGATTCTGGAAAGAGGTCACGTATGCTAGTGCTGGTAATACTGACACTGAGACAGAAGCCAGAGGATTAGAGTTCAAGGCCTGCCAGAGTTATACAGTAAGGCCCAAATACAAAAATAGAAGGTAGGCTGGAGAGATAGCTCAGCAACTAAAGCAATGAATGTTCTTCCAGAGGACCCAGGTACAATTCCTAGCAACCACATGGTGGCTCCCAACCATCTGTAACTCCAGTTCTAGAGGATTTAGTGCCCTCTCCTGGCCTCTATGACACCAGGCACACAAGTGGTACAAATAGCTATGCAGACAATACATCTATAGATATAAAACAAAAACAATAGAATCTAAATAAATAAATAAATAAATAAAAACACATCTGCATTAAGCTAGGGATATAACTCAGTTATAGAGAACATGCTGAATGTGTGAGATCTTGAGTTCACTCACAGAACAAATATAAATAAATACCATGTCTGTCTGCCTTGGGAAGTGGATTGTGTGACAGGTATCAGAAACCTGGGGTTTAATTCAGTCTGAAAACACAAGATCTATAAAGTTTAATATGTACCTTGGCTTTACTGTTAAGGATCTTTTAAAACAAAATAGAATCCTGTAGATCAGACTCATGCCCTTTGCCCTTCTGATTTCAGAGAAACCTGTAATCTGAGACTTTTTAAAGGGCCTACACACCTGTAACTCCAGAAGTAATAAACTTTTATACTGTTTTGTATTTATGTTGTTTTGTTATTATTGTTTTGGTTTTCTTGGTTTTGTTGTTTTAAATCAGCCAGACCTAGTGGTATTACTTGGACAGTAGAGGCAGGAAGATGAGTTCACTGCCAGCCTGAGCTACATAAGACCTAAAGTAAATCTGCTAAGACAAATGCCACCCTAACAATGCCATTATGGACACTATCAGCATGTTTCTGGTTCTTTTCACTTCCTCATGAGTAGCTCCTAGGACTCCACCCTGGCGTCCACCCTGGTGTCTCAGCATACAGGCAACTAAGAGGGCCCCTAGACTCCTAAGTAACTCAACACCTACTTTGGCAAACACTTATATACAATATATACTGTGTGTATGTATCTGTAACTCTACACCTCCTGACTGAGTCAGTCTACCAGGGTCTTACAGAATGACTAACAGCATCCGGAGGAACTACAGTAGAGCTGCAGCACTCTAACGCTGCTTTTGCCCAATCTACTCTTAGTTAGACCAAGAAAACAAAAGAAATTAACTGTTTCCTTAAGTTGACCACAAAGTACTCCATTAAAAATTAAATAAATAAGCCAAGGTGGTAGAACAAGCCTTTAATCCCAACACTCAAGAGGCAGAGGCAGGAGGATCTCTGAGTTCGAAGCTAGTCTGACCTACAGAGCAAGTTCCAGGACAGCCAGGACTATATACAGAGAAACCCTGTCTAGGAAAACCAAAAAGAATTAAAAACAAAAAACACAAAACAAAAAACAAAACCACAACAACAAGAAGAAACCCTTACCATGATTCAAAACTTCCCCAAATACATATTCTTCTTCAAGTTAAAACCTTTTAAAGGTGCCGGGGAAGGTATAACCTTTAAGCAGATGAATCCAGAGCCAGTAAGGACATTAGGATAATTCCTTTCATCATATATTTATATCACATGCAAACATTCCTTCCTCCTGACAAGTGTTCTGAGAAAGTTCTCTTTTCCCAGAGAAATACTACATCCTAGTTAAAGTGGAGGAGGGGCGGTACCTCTAAACAAACACCAATAAATGTCCCTCTTCAGAAGTAGCTTCCAACTTAAACATGCAATACTAGCCTGAACTCTGGACATTAAAAATCAGGACAGCTACAAACCACAAATTTTACAAAGGGAATGCTTACTTTGGCAGCAATAATAATCATGTATCAAAATTAGCCTGTGTGCTCTAATAAATATAAGACACAAGTAACAACTTGTGGAAAGTAGAGAAATTCCAGTTTTTGGAACATCCTTGAAGCACTGTCAGGACATCTTCTCATATCCAAGCTCAATTGAAGCTGCAATAAAAACAATGTTTCCATGCCTCTGAATCAACCACCAATAGGACAATTATCATACTAGATCAACTGTTGCAATGAGAACTGTACTAGGAAGTCAACTCCTCTACCTTAAAAACAAAGTTAACCTCAAAAGTTAATGGAACATAGATGCAAACAATTATTCCATTTAAGTGGATGTGCATGAATTACATTTGATTAACAATTCCACATTGTGAGGTTGACATTCTCTCCTTCCTCTTTTCCATATGCCTTCGGTGTTCATGAAGCAAATATTTAAAAACAAAAATTCAATCAGGAAGGTCATTTGACAGCTACTGCTTTTTGAACTTGCAGGAAAGCAAGCATTCAGCACTAGCATTAAACAAGCATCTATGTGTCAAATGGTATACTTGCTACAGCAACCGACCTCTGTAATTTGCAACCCTACTTTATGGTATCCTATGACAGATCATCCAAAAAATTAACAGAGTATAATCTTCAGCTTCTTCTCAAGCACATTTACAAGAATTATCTCATAGAAACCATCTACTTTAATAAGACTCTAAAAACCCCATGCCCAGAAGCCAATGGCTGGTTTATAAACAAGATAATGACTAGTTCAATGGAAAAGGCATTATGACAAAATGCTAAGACTGCCTCACCATGTTATGATCTGTTTGCCTAATATGTATGTTTAGCTACTGTAGTCAGCAATGTCCAAATATAAATTTAAAACATTTAATGGCCAGTTGTGTTCTAGACTTCAAACTCATCTTACCTGTTTAAAACACTGATGCTATATTTTTATCTATCTTCCAAAATATTTTTTCTTTTAGTAAATATATTTCTTAGGGTAGAAAGAAGGACCTAAGAAATAAATTCTCCCTAAAATACAATAAAATATCCAAACGCTGAAAGGGCAGACATTCTGATATATATTTTTTACCATAACAAATTAAAAGTAATCACAATAATTTAAGAAAAGTAAACTGACACAGGTTAAGCACTAAATTTCACAAACGAGAGCTCCATGCCCTTTATATGAATGCAGCCATAAATATACCACGAAATAGCTTGTTAATTTAAAACTTAAAAATTTGGGTTGTTTGGTTAAACTTCAATTACTGTTAAGTGTCATGAAGACAAAGGAATTAACACAACAAAACAATTTTTAAAAGGTCAGTCATATTTTGTTTACTTAAAATACTAAGCTTAATCATGACCTGTTTAAACCTTATCGTTGCTCACTGTATAAAATTAGCACTGCAAACCTAAGCAGAATCTAGACTTATCAAACATAAGGTGAGACTTGCCCAGTTTCTGAAATAGTAAATGTGGATAAACATTAAGATATTTTCTGGAAATGTTTTCATAATCTGATCAGAAGGAAGAAAAAAAAAACTTTAAAATTTTTCAAAATCTGGGAACTAAGGTAAATTGAAGTACCTCACTTGAGAGGCTGTAGTTTACAGGAAAAAAAAAAAAAAACTAAAATAGAAAAACAGAAAAAAAAAAAAAACCCAACAGATCTTCAAACATATCGGAGGTATATAGAAAGCAAGGCTGGTTTTCCAGCTAACTTTTCCAGCCCTGTACCAGAGAGACAACCAAAACAAAGTTGACTGTAAAACCATAAGTTTTCCCAGTAAACTGGGCCATAATCTGAAACGGGGGAGGGGGGGTGGGGGGGGAGAGACGGACACCGGCTGCTGCTGCTGCTGCTGCTGCTAATAGAAGCTCCTTATAAGCAGCGAAATGACAGATGGAAAAAAAAATTCGCTAGCAGGCCAGCCAGAGGTTGTGAAAACACGGTTCAAGGACCGAACATGTTGTGACTACTCAGTAACAGGTCCAAGGTAATTTACGCACACACCCTTCAGCGCAATCCCTCAAGCACAGATAAGACTGGGAAACAACAGGCTTCCCCCGAGATCCACATACCATTTTACAACAGCCGTCTCCCCCCAGACAGAAAAACAGACATTCTGGTCCCGAGTCCTTTCCGCTGATCTCCCCCAGCGCGAAGGGAAGAGGGCCGCCGCCGCCGTAACGAGAGAAGCCGGCAACAGCCCCGCCGCGCGGCCGCCACGCCTTCCTCCCGCCGCCGCTGGGGACGCGAAGCCGCGGATCACATTTCTCCTCCCCAACAATCACACGCACGCACGTCCCCGGAGTTGACACCCTCCAAACCCGCCGCCCCGCGACGCCGGTGACAGGGCCACCAAGCCTCCGCGGCGCAGCCACGGGGCTGGGCGCTCTGGCGGCGTGCGTGCACGTTGGTGTTCGCTCCCATCAATGAAAGGAACGAGGTCTCCGTAGTGACGGCCTAGAGCTGCCGAGCCGAAACGGGGGGCCCCGTGGGACCAAACAAAACTTCGGTTGCTGGGAAGAGCCGTTGCGCAACCTTGGCTTGGGGGAAGGCCCGGACTGCCCGGCGCGGCCAGGGCGGCTTCCCGGAGGCTGCGCCAAGCGCGCGCGGAAAGCACGCGCGGTCCCCGCGTCCGGCCGCCTCGGGCCTGGCGTGGCGCCGGCCTTCGGGAACCGCCCGGGACGGCCGCACTAGACAACCGGGCGGAAACGGAGCGGCAGCGCTCCGAGGGTTCCCGAGGCCCCGTGACAACGCCGAGCTCCCCGCCCTTGCCCGGCTCCCTTACCTTCCTAGAGGCCCGCGCTCTCCCCACTTCGGGCGGCCGCAGCCCTGAGCATGTCCGGGGTGGGTAGCGGGGACCGTGCGGGGACCCGGAGCCAAGCGCTTCAGCAGGCGGCGCCACCCAGCCGGGGCTCAGCCCCTCTCGGCGGCCGCTGCCATCTTGTCCTGGCGGCTAAGAGGAAACGGCGAAACACCCTCCCTCGACCGCTGCTGCTGCTGCTGCTGCTCTGGCTGCCGATCGCCGGGCCCGTCTCCCTCATCTTCCTTCCCGGGGACCTGGGGTGGGGACGGCTCGACTGGGGAGAGGGGCAATGACAAGCCGGCGGGTCACCAGGGCCTACGAGGAGCGCGGGATGCAGGGCCCGCGGCCGTGAGGGCCCATTTCCCCAGCCGCGGGGTTGAGACTAGGACGAGGGCTGCTTGCGAGGCCGCGACGCCGGGGGACTGCGGCTTGGACTCCTCAGGGCGCCGCGCTGCCGGCAGTCGTCACCCGGGCAGCTGCCGCGGGCCGCCCCGATCTAGGGCCCCTCCTCCGCGCCCGCCGGCCTCGGCCGCCGCCTCCGCAGCGCCACCGCCCGCTCGGCCGCTCTGCGCGCCGAGCCCCGGCGGCCCCGCTCGGGTAGGGCCGCGGCGCCTCCACGAAGCCCCTCCCCGGGGTCCGCCCGCAGCCGCGCCCTTGACGCTCGCAGCCCGCCAGGCGGCCCGCGCGGATCCAACCCTGAGCTCTCAAGCCATCCCTCCAACAGGAACAGCTTCCGTCAGCCCTCCTCTGCAGTTCTGAGCCTGACTTCGGGCCCAAAAATACACATTTAAGGGAAGATCCTAATACCCAAAGGGGTTCAGATGCGGAAGCAGAATTTCACAGCCCTTCCAGGTTACCCCATCCTAATTTCCTTTCCACCCCTTTAGAATCCGTTTCTCGGCATTTTAGGAGTCTAAAATCAAAGGGAGAGAGACTCTTTAGCCAAATGAATAATCTCAGCCTAAAATAGGTCCTTCTCGCTTCCCTATTCCAAAACAGCAGGAGACTTGTCACACCATGTCAAAGAATGAGGGAAGGACTCTCTCGGAAGTTTTCCAAGTGCACCACCACAGTCGTTGGGAAGCTGCCCACCTCTACGTTGATAATTCTCCATCGAGTTAGTTCCACACCCAAGCTAGTTTCTTCGCTCCTAGAAACTAGGATATCGACAGAATGGTCCATTTCCACCCACGTAACCATAGAACCATGGAATTTGAGATGAAAGAATCTTACTGATGCATAGTCCAAACTCTTATGCTAAGACAAGGGTTTAGACAAGTTTCGATGACGTGAGCAAGGTTAGAGAGCAAGGCCTTAGTCTCCACCCCTCTGTCCTCCATTTCTCTCTCCAGAAACCAGCTATCTTCGAAGCAACCCATCATTCAGTAAACCTATTTTGCCACCTGTTTCGTCTGGGTCCTTTTGTTCTAAACTAATGTTTAAAGTTTCAGCAGCGCAAGCACCTCTGTATATTAGAAATGTCCTTTGCTTTCTTCGTATTTTTACTATAAGGATTGAGTTTGCTGATGTATTGTTTCTCCACACATTTTCTATTGCAGCAGCTGAGACTAAAGGGAGGGTCAACTTGCGGCGTAGATACTAGTCCTTTCCCTATTGCCTTTCAAACTAGGACAGTGTAGAATGTCTTTAAAAAGGGTATCCCTGGAGCCCACTGATAAGCCTTTCTCCAGTGATGAGTGTTTTCTTCAAGACAGGGTACTCAGTGAAGACTGAAGTAGAAAAACCAATGACTGGTTTTTAGGAAAGGCATACGCATGAGACGGGCAAGGTGATGCATGCCTATAATGCCAGCACTGGGAAGATGGAGGGAACGGAAGGGGGCAGGGCTCAAGATTATATTCTAGTCTGCATGCAGAAAGAGGCCAATGTTTGAGGCATTCTTCTTTCTTTAGCATGTACATTGAATTTCTTTTAAGGCAATAATCTAAAAACCAAACAAAAATAACTGCTAAAAAAAAAATCTACACTAATAGAGAATTCTCTCCGAGAACTCTCTCCATTAGGACTAACTTTTCACCACTTTTGCAAGCATCTCTCTAGCCTCCTAATGGAAGACTTTCCTCTGCTTTTTTGTGGGTTGCTACATTTATGAAGAGGTTGGAGGTGAGGGTTTCTCCCCTTTCTGCTGAGTAGTTCACCCTACCCCACCCCCCTTCCTATGAATTCCAAGAAGGATTTCTGTCACATTTCTTTTAACCTTTGCCTTGCCAGTGACTAACTATAGTACCTAACTTAAAACTTCCCAGTAAAGCTTCCTAAATAAATAAGTCCCCCTCCTCAGTAAACCTATTGTGTCCTAACATAGTCCACTTCATCTTTTCCCCCTCAAATCCATTCTGAACTGGAACACACAGATAACCTTTCGAAACCATGAAGTGGCCTTTTGTTGTAATGTTAAGTTCATATTTTTCAAAAGAAGGATAGTTCTAAACAGGGTGTAGTGGCTCACTCCTGTATCCTAGTATTACAGAGCCTGAGGCAGGAGTATCTTGCAGGGTCCAAGAACATGGGCTTCATAGTGAGTGCCAAGCCACCTCCAAATACAGACTGACTTCCTACTGGAGTGAGCAAATACTAATTATCCTCTCACAGTTCCAAATATATTTTTGTTTTGTTTTGGTTTGTTTTGTTTTTTTTGAAACAGGGTTTCTCTGTGAAGCCCTGGCTGTCCTGGAACTCACTCTGTAGACCAGGCTGGCCTCGAACTCAGAAATTTGCCTGCCTCTGCCTCCCAAGTGCTGGGATTAAAGGTGTGTGCCACCACTGCCTGGCCCAAATATTTTTAAACACAGGTTACTTCTGACACAGAAGTACAGGCCTGTGATCTCAACTACTCAGAAGCCTGAAGTGGGAAGACCTCTAGTTCAAAACAGTCTGTGCTACACAGTGAGTTCAAAGCCCACCTGAGCAATTTCGTGTGGCCCTGTCTCAAAAAGTTTTCCACATCCAGGAACCCCTAAAATTAAAGGTTTAAATTCAATCCTCAGCAGCCACACAAAAAGTTAACTCCAGTAAGCCTAGAGATGGGGAAGAGAAGAGGATCCCTGGGGCCTTTGGCTAGCCTGCCTAGTCCAGTTAGTGAGCACCAGGCTCATTAAGTGGAGCTCACTGAGAACTGTCAGTGGACAAGGTGGAGAGCCATCGAGCTGGTTGGGCTCAGAACTTTATTCCAGGGCAAAGGAAGCCAGTGAAGAAGGGTTTATTTAGGAAGGGAAAAGTGCAATCAAAGAAGCCAGGACAATCTTTGGGTGAAAGACTGCTCAGTGGAATCCATTTGCTTTTCTTTCTAGTTATTCAAAATTTCCTTCCAATAGCAGTCAGTCTATCATAGTAAAAAGCTAACGTCACATTGGCATAAACCAGTGTTGTAAGACCTTCCACAGGACTGGAGCACTAGAAACTCACTATCTCAGGGTTCTGTCCTCCTAGTCATTTCTTCCTCAGGTTCCAAGATTCCCTAAGTCCTCACTCACTTTTCCAAGCCTCTCTTGATTTTTTGCCCCAGTCCAGGAGACTGAACCTAGTGCAAAGCACCACACTACCTCTGAGCAATACCCCAATCCCTTTTCTATGGTTTTTTTTTTTTTTTTTTTTTGTGGCAGGGTCTTGCTAACCTGCCCAGGCTAACCTTGAACTCACTCTGTAACTTAGGCAGGCCTTGAACTTATGAGCTCTTTCTCAGCAGCCTGTAACTATGACTGCAGTAGCTGTAATCACAGACCCGCACCAGGCCCTGTATAACTTAGTATCTTTCTGTCTCTCACAAGAGCCAGCCATCTTAGACAGGCTCATGTACATTTTCTGTCTTCTTCCAAAAGGAACTTTCTTTTTTGTCATTTGTCACTTGTTTGATCCCCCACAGTCTAGAATAGGAATGCAATAAATATTTATAAAATGAAAGAATAGATTTTTCTATGTAAGCAGAAAGAAGCTGTCCTCAAACTCAGGCTGCAAGTAATCACAGACCTGGGTCTTTCTGTTAGGTCGGCCTCCACCTCCAATAGTACTCTGTCCAGATGGGGCCAGTCCTCCCTGCACTGCCCTTGTATCCACCTCTGCTGAACTGCACACAGGTGTTGTCTTCAAGAAATGGCCTCGAACAGCCTTAGCTCATCATGCTAATGCTTCTATTCAAAGCACTGCAGTTTCCAGAAAAACCTTGGAACTCTGTCACAGCCTGAGTCACCAACCCACACACAGCTATCTTCCTTAAGGAAGTTGGGCTTTGAGGAGTTTTCTGGTTGTTGTTTTCTCCCCTTCAGACCCTAGGTATTCTTTCTGGTCCTTTTTTCTTTTCTTTTAAGGGGGAGGAGGGAGCAGGGGGGAGCAAGGTATGTCAAGAAAACCAATGAGCTTCCTAACTACATACCAAGGAGGAAAAGTTTATCTGGGGGCTTTATTTCTCCTCCTGGCAGGAGATCCTGACTTCCTAATGCAAATAATCTACCTACTTCCTGGAGACCAACTTTGTATATCTGGGCCTCAGGGAGTGGCAGCTGGGATTGAAAAACCCATCTAGAAGCTAGCTGCTCCAGCCCATATTTGAATAATTCAAAAGCCCACCAAGTAATTAACTCTTTACAGCCTGAAGTTCTGCTTCTCTTTCAAAACAGATTTTTTTTTTAATTAAAAAAATAAAAATAGCAAACAAGGCAGGCAAGTTGTCTCAAAGGGCAAAAGACCTGGCTGTCAGGCCTGATCATCTGAGTTCTGTACTGGGATCCACTTGGTGGGAGAAGAGAACCAACTGCCTAAAGTTGTCCTCTAACCTCCAGTGTGTACCCTGGCAATGTGCACCACCTCCGAAAAAAAATTCATACAAATAAATAAATGTGTTTGTTTTTTGTTTTTTTAAGCTGGGTCTGATGGCATAGGCTTACAGTCCCAGGTACTAAAGCAGGAAGGTTCCAAGTTCAAAACTGGCACCAGCAACTTAATAGAAAGCCATATCAAAATAAAACCAAGTCAGACAGTGGTGACACTCACCTTTAATCCCAGCACTTGAGAGGCAGAAACAGATCTCTGAGTTTAAGGCCACCCTGGGCTACACAGCAAGTTCCAGGACAACCAGGACTAGACAAAGAAATCTTGTCTCAGGGAGAAGTTGGAAAAAAAAAAAGTCAGGCGTACAGTACAGTAGTACACATCTTTAATCCCAGCATTCAGGAGGCAGAGGCAGGAGAATCTCTGAGTTCAAAGCCAACAAAGAGAATTCTACAGAAGACAGCCAGGGCTACACAGAGAAATACTGTCTGAAAAATCAAACAAAATAAAGAGAAGCAGGAAAGAAGAAAGGAAGGAAGGAAGGAGGGAGGGAAGAAAGGAGGGAGGGAGGGAAGGAAGCAAGGAAGGAAGGAAGGAAAGAAGGAAAGAAGGAAGGAAGGAAAAAACAAGCAGCCAGGGGTAATGACACACACCTTTACTCCCAGAATTTGGAAGACAGGCTGGTGGATCTGGGAGTCCCTGGTTAACCAGGGCTATGTAGTGAGACTACATCTCAAAACAAACAAAACTCAGTTTCA